ATATATATATATATATATATATATATAGATAGATAGATAGATAGATAGATAATTTATTTAAAAATATGATTCCATCGCTACATAAGAGTTCTCATGTTTAAAAACAAGAGCCGAAAACTTCAATATGATTAATTGAATTAAAATACTAAAGAACTTTGGATTATTTACCTAACGAGTTCTTTCCTATTTTCTATATATTTTTACACACACACATATATATATATATATATATATATATATATATATATATATATATATATATATATATATATATATGTAATGATAATAGTAGTGATCAGTATGAATATTTTCAAAAGGATATAAATCCAGGGAGAGCTCTATGCCAGAGATAAAGCAATAATTATTATTATTATAAAAGGCACGAACACTTAAAACTTAATGAGGTTATATTTATTTCGTTAGGGTCTTTAAAAAAGGCCTCAATCCATCAAGTCTTCAAATGCAAAAGGAAACAGGAAATATTTGTCCAGGTTTTAAAAAAAATATGTAAAAAGTTGTCTACGTGGAAGCGGGAAAAAGTTGAAAGAAAGACGTGTATATAAGATTGATAGAGAGGTGGAAAGAAGACATTTAAAAGAAAAGAAAGACATGAAAAATGTGTCTGCGAGATTCTGGAACGGAAGATGAGTAAATCATTCAGAGAGAGGGGAGGTAATAGAGAATTTTTTTTTCGAAATTGTGATTGAGACGAGTAGAAGTTCTTTTCAGTTGAATAAACTGACTTTCGACTTGTTGACCTAATTTAAAATACAGACGACGGTAAACAGGGTTACATCAACTGTGACAGTTAAAGACACATGAAAGGGGAAAAAGAAGGAAAAAGAAAAGAACAAAAAATGAAAGGTAGGGGAAATCAATGAAATCAATGGTTATGTATGCAATCGAAATATTCTGTTTGGACTACGATTATGACACTTGTGTAGTCATTAAAAAAAAAAAAAGCGCCTTTAATATTAAAGATGATGTGTAGGTAAGAATTTTCTGAAAAATCATGAAATTTTCTCGTAAAGATTTCAAATTTAACATAAAAAATATAATCCAGTTAAAATAACAATGTATATATTCACATATCTGTCTATATTTCTGAGATGAGGTATTATGTACACTATTTACATTATTCTGACTATTGTCCTCATCTTTGTCGCCATATTTATTACAACGTTTCGGCTGTTAGTATCTATATTTCTGAGATGAGGTATTATGCCACAAACAAGAATTGTAATATAAGAAATTGTTAACATAAAATTTATGGTTACATCTAGCCATTTCAATTATAAAATGATGAGGCCTAGCTGCCAATCTAGTACTGTATTTAAATTCATAAAGTCTAGGTACCAAAGAGGAAAATTCATCTAGAAAAGTCACAGAGAAGCTACGTTGCAGCAGTGGGAAAATATCTGAAGCTGAGATGCCAGATCAGGACCAATAACATTGCAGATTCTTCTTTGTGTTTTATCAAAAATCTTTAAATACACAGAAGCACTAGACCAGATGTGGTAGCAATATTCAATGCATGGCTGAATGGTAAACTTATAAATGTATAAGATAGATTCTGGGTTTGTCTAGCACATGAATAGGTGAACATCTTTGTATATATTCATTCATTTCATCCACAAAACACTGAGTTTCCCAACAAACTTGCAACATCATTCTGTTCCAACGATGTATTGTAATGTGATTTTCTATGTAAGCTGGAACGTACCTGTGATTTTCCATGAATAAGCACATACGCCACTCACCTATGCAAATGCAATAGTAAAGTAATAATTTAAGACATAACAACACATTTCTATGACATATCTTAACATAATTAGGACTGAAAAAACGCATTTGGAACATAAATATAATATAGATAATGAATTGAAAATAATATATGTTTTGAAATGAAATTGTTTTAAGATGCTTGTATATTTATTGCCAGTGATGTCATTGACACTCGGTTGATGAGATGATGAAGCGTAAGATCTTGTCTCTCTTGCAGTACTTGGAATCAGCTGCAAATCTGGGAAAGAAAGAACAGCAAACTCACGTTTTGTTTTTTAATTTTTTATCGGGAATTTACCAACTTATAATTTAATAAGAAAATGTCCTTATCTCTTACATGTAAAGCTCAATATCTATACATATATGGACATGCTTTAAGCGAAGGTCGACCGACTTAAGCAAAACAACTGGACAGTCTTCGTCCTTGTTTCTTGCTTTTTGGAATGTTTAAAAATTGTCTAATTTCACTTCCATGGAGATGACTTTCCTTTATGGATGTTATGGCTATTAGTGCTGGGTTGATTCTTTCACCTAAACATCCAAAACTTGTTGAATTGCCTTCGTCGCTGAAATAAATAAATAAAGAAAAAGGTGGAAGGATACGGAGACACTAGAGGGACAGTTTAGGACATTGATTTTATTTCCTTCTTTTGAATTACAACGACCTCTTGTTGGGGAATTTTCTTCCCGAACAGTTAGCACGTGTTCACCAGTCAAAAGTCCAACAGAGAAAGAGATAGATTCTTCTAGTTTATTTTTGGCGCCAGGAAATCTCTCTTTTGCACATGCGTAAATTGTCTTTCCTGTCAGAGGACACCTGGGAGATTTTAATGTTTATTTTATTTTGTACTTTTATTTTATCCCCACACCTTTTCTCCGAAGAAACGCCACCAGAAGAGGTTACATTAGGCTCGTGGAATCATGATGAAAGGAAAGAATTTTCCACAACAGAAGAGAGCGAACGCACAACAATCCAATATGGCGTACAACCCGGAACTGATCGACGTCACCTTCCTTCCTCTCGCATCGTATGAAGACGTATTCTTCAGCCGCGCAATGTATTTTCCACCACGCTGCGTATTCTTTCTCCGCGTCGTATGTACGAGGTAAACAGCATAAGTCGAAACAAGATTAATGGGGATTGCGTCGTAACCACGAATCGTTGCAGACCGGGAGTGTCGGAATACTTAATTCAATAATGGGATCGCCTGTGTTTGCACACTGGCGATTTATGTTCAAACTCAAGTGTCGGCAGCGACACTTTATTCCTATGTGACACAAACTCAATTTTTTTTTATTTTTTTTTTGTCAGGAATTCACCAACATAGTTCAACAAGAAAATGCCCTTATCTCTTACATGTAAGGCTCAATCAATATCTATACAGATATGGACATGTTTTAAGTGACGGTCGACCGGCTTAATCTAAAGAAACAGCCAGTGTTCGTACTTTTTTCTCCTTTTTTAAAGCATTTAACAATGTCTAATTTTACTTCCGTGATGAAGGCTTTCATATTCTTTAACGTACCACCATCAGAAGAGGTTACAATCCGGTTGGGATCCATAATGAATGACAATAAGTTTCCACAGGCACAACACAAACGAAAAAAAGCGAATGCGCAACAACACAATATGGCGTACAACCAGGAATTGATTCACACCGTCTTATGTAAGAGGCAAACTGCGTAAGCCGAAACAAGATTAATGGAGTTTCCGACGTAAGCACGAATTGTCGTAGATCGGGACTGTCATAATCGGGAACTTTATATATATATATATATATATATATATATATATAGACACACACACACACACACACACACACACACACACACACAGAGATAAATATATATATATATATATATATATATATATATATATATATATATATATATTTCAATGTTTAGTCGTCCTGGGCTGGGTAAGACGATAAACTACGCCCAACAGCAAAGCCTTTGACCAGGAGGTTTTGAGTAGTGTGGAACCACCTCTTAATTGCTGGTGTTCCCAGGTCCATCCTGACCCGGGGTGGTAGCACCTGTTAGGGTCCCAGCTATGGGCAAATAAACTGGGATCCAAACCCTATGAAAGTGTAAAAATAGATTTTAATACCAAAAATAATTTGTAAAAAATTATTACCAGCAATACATTTTTGAAAAAAAAAAAAAATTACCAGCTATACATTTTGGGAAAAAAAAATATTCCTAGAAATTGATTTTTGAAGGAAAAAAACTATTATCAGTAATACATTTTTCGAAAAAAAAATATTACCAGCAATAAAAATTGTCAGCATTAAATAAACCATTGAGGTTGATAAGCCGTAAAACAAACCAAACTAAGTCAGTTTTTCATCGTTGATATTATTAAGTGTTGGCCTTTTCTTTGATATTATTATTAATGCTTCTATTACTTTTAGCCGGTTTTTAGATTCGGACAGTTTTTTTCTCCATTGTCTGCACAAACTTGATTTTTCAGTTACAGATACGGGGAAACCTTTAAATTTGACACGAAGGGACAATTATGGTGAAAACACGAGAAAGTGCTATATGACGCAAATTAGAAATACTATAAAACCTCATACAGAGTTACTTTCTTTTTCATTCCTTTTTCTTTTTTTTTACACTGGTGTTCACTCTACACAAGGTCCGAAAACCACTCGAGGCAGACGGTTACAGAGTAAGAAGCACATGCTAAGGCGGATGTGTTGAAGATAAAAATGAACCCAAGACTTGAAAAGAAGATTGTAGTGATCGCGAGAGCATTATCTTGGGAGACGGTTCGATTCGCTCTAAAGGAATATGAAGGGAATGAAGGTAGTTCGTTACTATATACGTGGCGTTGCAGGTCTTAGCTGTGAAGATTAGGACTGGTTGAACGATGGAGTGTAGTTCGTTTGAACACTTGCCATAGAAATAGCGATACAGCAGCGAGAGTCTTCCGACCACTCGTCTTTTTGAAAGGGATTGCAGAGTAGAAAATAATTCGTCACCCACAAGGACGTGGAGACGCTTAAGGACTCTATCAAGACTGGAAAAGGAAGACTGGGCAGCTCGTGCCCGTATATGGCTCCATTTTCGACCTGTAAGAAAGGGGTGGTAGGGTGGAAAATCATTCGTCACGCACAAGAACGCTGAGACGCTTTTGAACTCTATCGAGGCAGGAAAATGAAGATTAGACAGCTCCTGTCCATACACGATGGCAGTAGTGAGATATTGGCTTACGGCCATATAACTTTGAAACATTGATTCTCTTATGATCACCAAAGTTAAGCAACGTTGAGCCTGGTCACTAGATGGGTGACCGCTTGGGAATACCAGATGCCGTAAGCCAGTCGCACACGACTCAGAATTGGAAAATCGGATAGCCGGCAGAGTCGCGTTCGTTATATTTACTTACGCGCCAATACCATTAGGGGATATATGAATTCACCTCTTCTCCCCCCAACTATGGGTTAATTAGTAAGACTTGTATCAGTAAATCATTATCCCCTCCAAAAAAGTCTTATATCTAGCTTTAAATAGCCTGCAAAATGTTGATAAGTCGTAAACAACAATCTAGTGAGGCAAATACGTAGATACAGAAACAAAGGTCAGATAGATAAATAGATAGATAGATAGATAGATAGATAGATAGATATCGGATCTTCTACTTGTGTTAATGTGCTGAACTGTTATGTAATATTAATCATTCTATATGACATTCAATACTAGACAATCTGATGAAGAAGAGATTTGAGGCGACAGATTTAGCGTTCTACAGAAGGATGCTGAGAATACCATGGTCAGAACATGTGGGCAATGATAAAGTTTTAAGTGAATTAAAAACAACAAAGAAATTGCAGCCAAAAAAAAACTGTTTGAACTTTTAAGGACCAATAATAAGGAAAGAAGGCCAAGAGAATCTAACACTCTCAGGTCATATTGAAGACTTGAAGGCATGAAAATGTGAATGGATGGCAGAACAAAAAACAAAGCGGGAGAAAGGAACAAAAGATAACTAGAGCAGCAAAGGAAAGGAAGTTGTGGAGAGCCATAAAAATATACAGATTTTTGTCGATAAGGAAGCAAATTTAAGGATTAAAAATCGAATTTTGGCAATTTTTGATCTGAAAGTTTTATTCGGTGAAAATAAAAAAGAAACCAGTCAATGGCCAGAGATCCTTATGTTGATATAAGTATCAGGAAGAAAGGGATTATCAATGGTCAGAAATTAAAGTATTACTTATTGAGAGATTAGTACGGTTAAAGGCACAATTGTAAACGCACCGCTAAAGTTTTTTTTTTCTTTTTTTTTAATTATAGCAATGGATGAACATCAGGAAGAAAGGACGTGTCAGGGGTCAGAAATTAATGCAAACTTTACTGTCAGAATATAGCTATTATATGTATAATGTAAATGCATTATTAATGATTTTATTATCAGAATGTATTTTAAAGAAGAAAGGACTTGTCCGAGGTCTAGAATTATTGACAGAATTGGGCTATTATATATAGAATGTAAATGCATTGCTAATGATTTTATTATAGGAATGCATTGAAGTCAGGAATAATGAAATTGTTAATGGACATGAATTAATGCAGTCATTATTGAAAGAAATAGGTTATTATATGAATTAGCCATATATTCTGAACATGCAAATATGATCATTATTGCTTTTGTATTTTAGTTGCCATTACAATTAAGAAAATCATTATGAAAAGAAAATTAGTTGAAAACTTAATTACAGGGCAGCATGATCAAAACAATAATTAATTGCACGCCACTCATATATATATATATATATATATATATATATATGTGAAAATATATAGAAAATAGGAAGGAACTGGTTAGGTAAATAATCTCTTATGTCGCGATTTGGAATCATATATATATATATATATATATATATATATATATATATATATATATATATATATATGCATGCGTTTTCAGTAAATATGACAGACAAGGTGATTTGATTTAGTTTTTTACACAATTTCTCATGCGATCTTATAATTTTTTTTCTTTTCGGTAGATAAATTATGAAAAAACTGTTCTTTTTTCCCGAGCGCTTTCGGCAATACATTTAGCCATTTTCAAAGTTGAAATATATTAACTGTTAACAAGAAATAAAAATTGCTAAATGTATAGCCGAAAGCGCTCGGATAAAAAAGAAAATAAACTGTTAGACAGTTTTTATCTAATTTATCTACCGAAAAGATCACATGAGAAATTGTATAAAAAACTAAATCAAATCACCTTGTTTGTCATATTCAATGAAACTTGCATGAAAGAAAGATTGCTGCCTATTAATTAAAATACATGGAATAGGTGGCTAAAATGACCTTACGATAAAAAGGCATTTGAAAACGTGTACAAGTTTTCATGTCTTTTTAACGTAAGGTCATTTTAGTCACCTATTCCATGTATTTTAATTTTTATTAATTTTTGTTTAGCTCATCTTTAATCTTATTATCGTTGCTTTCAGGTCGTTTTTAACATCTGCAACCATTCAAGAAGATTTCAAGTCGCTTCTCATATCCTTTGGAATCCGTCTGACATGGACAGCGTCTTAATTAATTCGATCATGGAGGCGAAATTAAATCTAGTCCTATAACTCCGTTTTTGTCTTTTCTTTCATGGCATAACTTTTTTGTTTACTATCTTGTATGTAGTTGTAGATATAATAGCTTAAATTGCTGAATTTAGTTTAATTTGCTGAAATTTATTAATTTAGTTTCCATTTCTGCTAATTTTATCGCAACGCTTAGGCCGTTTTACATTCTATGATTTTAGCTTTGTTTGAATGGTTTTTGTGGAGTGTCTTTCATTATTTTCGACACAAAAGTAGTAACACTGCTACGAATTTCATACCTTGCTGGCAGACATTCAGAAACTGTAAGAACTTGCGTAAATTTGTGCCAAAACTCACCACTACAACTGTAGCAATTTCCGAGTTGTGACAATTATAATATTCATAAGAAGCACAACTGATTTGCTTAAAAAAGTACAAGTAAGAATTTTATTCATTTACTTACAACTACGTCCGTTGTTCTTTATAAAAGTCCATCTTGCACATTTACAAATTTACCATTTGTCCGTGCATTGACTAATGTCGACCTATCTGGTCTGGTGCTCCTACTATTCATCTCGAGGTTCTTGACAAAATCCAAAGAAGTATCTGCAATGTAATCGATCCTGACATGGTATCCCGACTTCAGTCACTTTCCCACCGACGTGACGTAGCTTCCTTTTGTCTTTTGTACAAATATTTTCATGGCAACTTCACTGACGAGATTTTTTCCCTGGTGCCTCGACTACATGAATTTAAGCGTGCTACTGGATTGGTATCTAGGTTCCACCCGGTTACTGTTGAAATAGTTAAATGCAGCCGCCACCTCTACTCCAACAGTTTCTTTTCTCGCACTTCCAGCCTGTTGAACTCCTTCCGTTTACTTGCTACCCTGATAACTACAATCTTCAAAAATTTAAATGCAAAATCAATCGATATCTTCTATCTTCTTGAATCCTGTTCATCTTTTATCCTTTCTCCAGTCCTTGCTATATCCAGTCTTTTCTCTCACTTTCACTCTCTGTAACCACACCCCTGCGCGCCTTCCAAAAGCTAAGCATATTATTAGGAAACAGGAAAATGCTGTTAGAAACAAAGAAAAACGTGTCGAAGTCTTATATAATATCGGTCTTCCTATATGGCAGTGAATACCGGACAATCCCTTCAGAGATTAGGAAGAAACTTAAGGCGACAGTGATGTGGTTCTACAGAAGGATCATGTGAATGCCAAGGACTGAACATGAGAGCAAGGACAGAGTTTTAGAGAAAATGGAAACAAAAAGGACACTTATACTTTGGAACAGAAAGAGACAATTGAAATTTATAGGGCACATAATGAGAAAAGAAGGCTTAGAAAACTTGACACTTATAGGACAGATTGAAGGCAAAAGGGATACAGAAAAACAATGCATAACCGCTGCCTAATGTGCTTGTGTAAATAGTTGTCAGAACGTGGATTACGAGAGATAGAGAAAAGGCAAAATTTACTAAGAGCTATGAAGAGCAGGAAATTGCGAAGAGCCATCATCGCCCACGTCTAGAAGTATCATTGAGCGTCATAAGTACATATTTTTTATGGCCAACATATTTTTGCATATACAGGTTGCAATGGGTAAATTTTCGCCATTTTATTTTTTTAGTTTCGCGCATGCGCGTTGTTTGTTTTTGATTTTGTCAACTGCACAGTATAATAGGGTCAGTTGGGCACCGTCTGTGAGAAAAAGAGCATCATGAGGCAATTCACTTTGCCAGAAATTTGAAAATGGCATTCCGTACAGCTTGGCATTCACACTGAAAGCTCCAATATGAATATTTCAGAGTATTTGGGTGTCAATCTGAGAACAGCGCAGAGGATTCAGAAAGAGTTGGATGATATATCCAGTCAACATCATGGTGTTTGAAGCGATCACTAGTGATGGCGACCTTATGCCTCTAGTCATCTTCCCACAAGGCCTCAGACTCAAACCGGAAGCTTACATCAAGTGCCTTGAGGAGGTGCTGCTGCTTTGAGTCAAGAGGGAGGTTTCTGAAAGTGCCTATGTCTGATAACAGGGGTTTGCACCATGCCACACAAAGCAGTCATCTGGGGGTTGTGGTTAAAGACAATGGCGATTTTATTGAATAAACTTATTCTTTAGTATTTCAAGATATTTTGGTTTAATTTTGGTAAATATATCTGTTAAAATGAGATGTCAGTGTTATTTTCATTCTGGGGTAATTTAGACAACAGTTCATGCATCGTACCCTATATCTTGCCATTAAATTTTGAGAATTTGTATGGTATCATCAAAAGTTGTTTTATGACCCTTTTGTGAATCAAATTGTTGCAAAAAAATTTAATCTAAATTCGCCAAATTCTATACAACGACAAAGGTTTTCTCAACACATAGTGAGTTTTGAATTTGTAGCTAATCAAATTATTAGGGAACAGGAAAATGTTGTTAGAAACAAAGAAAAGAATGCGGAAATGCTATGTAATATAAATCTTCCTATACGGCAGTGAATGCTAAACAATTTCATCAAAGATAAGGATGAGACTTGAGGGGGGCAGAGATCAAATGTAAGAAGACGGAATGTATTATCATTAAGGGACTGTCTAATATGCAATTACGAATTGACGACGTCAGAATCAATAAACTGCAGAAATTCAACTCTCTGTCTTTATAACAGACGACAGATAATGTGGGACTGAAATTTGAAGGCATATTGGAATAGCGAAAGAAGCCTTTCAAAGGCTAAACAAGGTATTAAGGAATATGAAAATGTCGTTAGAAACATAGAAAAGAACTCTAAACTGCTATATAATACCAATCTTTCTTTATAGCAGTGAATGTGGGACAATCTCCTCAAAGATGAAGAGGAAACGGGAGGCAAAAGAAGTGTGGATCTGTAGAAAAATGCCGACAGGACAGGATGATGTAAGTGATGAGGAAGTTTTAAGGATAATGGAAACAAAAATGGATACTTGTACTTAAAAACAGAAAGAGACAGTTGAAATTGCTAGGGCATATAATGAGGAAAGACGGCTTAGGAAATTTGACACTCACAGGACATATTGATGGCAAGAAGGACAGAGGAAAGTAGTGCATAACCTCCCTAAAGAGTTTGTGTAA